TGGGATCAGGATAAACCACAGGCGTGTGAAGTGAGGTCAGCCAGTTTTCACTTGGATAAAACTGCTGCTGGGGCAGGAGAAAATTAGGGGTCCAGGTCCCTTGTATGGGGAGAGCTACTAATGAGGTAAAGATGGAGTGAGGACAGGCTATGCCTGCAGTGCAGGCTGACTTTGAAATCAGCTCATCTTTAGCACCATGGCTTTGTATTTAATATCCAGGAATGTGTGTTTTTCCTTATCTGTATTTTGTGTGTTAGCACTGCGATGCTTGTGCTTTTTATCCAGCTCAAAAACTGGATCTCTGAAAAGTCAAATCCAGGTTTCTGAAGCTGATGGGTCTGAGCCGCCTCAGCAGCAATCGGAACAGCTACCTTGTTCCTTGAGAATAAAGCTCCGTAATAAAGTTAGTATCATGCAAGTCTTTTAGTTATTTTCTACTTCTAGTTTTCTACTTCTTTTGTTTTATGTGATACCCTGCAAAGCCAGATGTCCTGAAAATTTAGGAGAACCTATTTAATTGTGTTTTAGAACAAGTTAGAAGAGGTGTGTTCTAAATCTCCCGCCTAATGCTGCATTGTTCCTTGTGAAGTTTTAAGTGCTTTCAAACAGTCAAACGAGGATCTCTGAGACACCTTAAATCTGTTCTTCATTCTACCCTCATTCTGTTTCAAGTCATCTGACTTGCTCCAAGTTGCTGATCTTCTGATCTTTTGTAACTTTATGCATAACCATCTGTACAGTAGAGCTAATTCAAGGTTAAATATTATTTGAGGTATCTGAGAGTATTGCTAAGAGCACAGAGCCTACAAAACAGCTGTACTAAAATGTTTCAGCAGATCCTTAAAATGCAAAGCTATCTGCTGAACTGTTTGGCTTCAATAAACTTGGATTGTCTTTAAAGCAAACCTCTGGTTTTGTATGTGCGATTGGAAGAGTGGGAGGAGAGAAACGGAAAAGGGACAAGCTTTTCAAGATTTCAGCGTTAAGCCTCCAGGGCGTGATGGCTTAGAAGCAAACTGCTTCTAGCTGGAAACCAGACTGCAGTGATGTTTGAAGCTTCCTTGTGTTAGTGAGCTTTGTTTGCTCTACCTTCAGACTGGTTGTAAGGATGTGATTTATCCTACCTATCTTCAGCTGTCTAAAAATCATCTGGTCCCCTAGAGTCAGGGGAGTGCGATAGACTTGGTTTTGACACCAGTGACTAGATAAGGTCAGTTTTCTGCAGGAGAGATGTAGGTATCTCTGTTGCCTATTGAGGAAATCTAGAGGATAGTCACCTTAGCTAAGCTGCCTAATTTTTAGGTGGCTCAAGTTAAATGCAGTGAATCCCACCCAAAGCGTCCGAGTTGCTCATATTCGTTCGTACGCATCTGAAGAGCAGAGTGCTTGGCGATGAGGAATGGCTCCGAAAGCTCCAGTTTCCCCTGAATTCTGCCCTCGTAGTGCAACGTGATACAGCTTTGCTTTAAATAGAAGTACTTTTCTCCAGCTTAATCAGCCTGTGGATTTCAGTTGTTACTACAGTGCACCCTGAGAAAACCGTAGGTAATTATTGCTGGCAGAAGGAAGGTGGTAGTCCCTTCTTGTTTAAGGTGGCCAAAGCCAAAAGATTTGTAAAGGCTTGTTTTTAGGTTTTGTGTGTTTTGTTTTTTTTTTTAGATTAGACTTACTGAGATTCAAAAACAAGCAACTGGAATTCAGTATGAGAGGTATTTTTGCGTTCCCTTGTTTTGTATATTTAACTTTGAGGGTGGGGAAGTTTGAGAAAAAGCCTAGATAGTCTTACTCTAGACTTAAATTACTGTGCCAAGCAAGGTTCCTTTGTTTTTTTTACTGGGTTGCCATGCTAATTCTGTGGTTTTATTTGAGTATTTGTGCTTTAAAAGGGAAAAGGTGAGTTCAATGTATTACGCCTTTGAAAAAAGGTTGCTTCGTTTAACCTGCTGACACAGAGCAACTTTTCCCTTCCTTCCCTACCCCACCACAAACGTAAATCATTAGATTTTGCAACGTGCTACAGTGCTTGGTTTAAATTAAATTAGAAGCAATTTGTAGCTGTATTAATACATCTCATTCTAATGGTCTTTCATCCCATAAAGGTCTGGCACAGAAATAAAAATTGAATTTTCTCGTGAAAGCAGGTAGGGTTGTTGGGACTCTGAGGTTTTTACCAGCAATAAACTGTGAATAGGAACAATAAAAAAATAAAAATAAAAAGGAGGGAGGGGTCAAAACGAAAGGGCTTCCTTTGTCCAGAAGCTAGCCGTTAATTCACTTTAGTTGAAGGCCTTTCCTTTGCTTCAGTGACCTTTCTTTATAGGTGCTTCATCATCTCGTGGGACTTCAGCATCAGTGATTCACATAACTGCCTGTCCTCTCCTGGCCAGTGTCCCCGCAGTCATTTTACCCAGCCAGCCTGCAAATTTCTTTAATACAATGTTGCAAAAAAAGGAGCACTATGTTTTTCCTGTTTTGCCAATACTATTTTCTGTGAAACGCTCTGGGATCTGATCTTTCCTTTGTACAAACCTTTCTCAGAATCTTCCTCAGGCAGATGTGATATAGCGTACCTTTTATTTTTGCAGCACTAGTTCTCTCCCTTTTAGCTTTCCTGACACCTGACTGGACGCGGCTGAGATCGTTACTCTGGCCTGTCCTTTTGTGTCTGTCAGCTGCCCTTACGTCCCTTCATGTCTCTGCCTGGCTCTCCAGCTGTGTGGGTGGCCTTTTGTGTAAGACCATTCACAAACTATAGTCGCTCTGTATTTTTTTTGCCAGATTTCCCCCTCAGCCCATTTCAGTAAACTCAGAGCTCACTGGAGTCGCGTACGAAGATCTGTCTGTTGGCCCTTCTACGTGCTCGGGCAAAAAAAGGCTGTAAAAGAGCCAGTGATTCTCACGTGGAGAGATGTTCTTGTCTGTGGTTTTCCTAGCTTGAAAATTTTTCTGTGATCTTTTCTCAAAAGTTGCTCAACTAGATATATTATCAGTCTGAGAGACTAATATCCTACTGTTCTGTTTCTTTAAATATTTATTATAACATGAATACTCTGTCTAGCAGTTTGTAACTCAGGGTGGCCAAAAACTTGCTGATTTCCTCTCTCTTGTCCTGATGGGACAGGATTTAAAAAAAAAAAAAAAAAAACAAAAACAAAAAACATTCAGATAAAGTAGTGAGTCCCTATACCAACAAATTGGCCCGTCACATTTAGTTATTGTACTAATTGCTAATGGTCTAGTAACAAAAAGCTTACCGTAGTCATCCCATTAACGTAAGAGCATGTTATATTCCCTTTTCATTTGCTTTGGAGGTTTTCCTGCTCTGAGTAGGCTTGCTCTGTGGGTTCTGCATGTCAGCAGCTGTGCAAAAGAGCATCTTTCTTAGGGGCAGATGGAGTTTGTCTTTGCATTTTTTTTTTTCCCCTGAGTAGCTGTTCTCTAATGATATCTTTTGTCTTTTGCTTGTAATGTCTTTTTCCTGGTTGTTAATATTTACCTTAATAGTCGTACCTGGAACCTTATGGAAAAAATTCCATGAGCCTGTTGTTTGTTCTGAAGGGTGTGATCTTTAAAATATTATGCTTAAATGTTCTATATTGCAGATTTACCAAGAGTTTTGTTGTTTTTTTCTGCAGCATAAGTATGTGTGCTTGTGCTGTAGCCTGGGCTATTAATATTGCATATGCGTAGCCATGAGAAACCCTGCCTTTGAAGAGGGTAAGGATGGCAGAACTGCCCTGTTTGGTCAGATGCATGTAGCTTACTGTGACCTTCTAGTGGTATTTTGTTGCTCTTCGTTTCCTTAAAGGTTTTCAAGAAAGGCAATTTTCATGAAGTTTATTTAATTACATCTTATTTTAGTAATGTTTACACTTAATTACAGGAGAATAAAGCTTCAATATAGTAGTGTTTAAAGAAAATGGATGAGAATGAAACATACTTTGGCCATGTGAGAGAAAGAGGGTCCCGCTAACTTTGGAATAATCTGTTTCCGAATTTTGAGAAGTAACATGATTTTAGAGTTATGATTGGGATTGGATTTTTTGAATTTTGGCCTTTTTCTTCTCATTATTTGGACTTCAGAATGATGCTTCATGCTGTTAATACTTGCTGCTACTCAAAAATACCAGTGGCATCAGAAACACGATTATATTGCAGACAGGTTTCTCTTTCATTACAGAAATTCACAGGCACAGGCTGTGACAGTCAAAGAAAAGAAAACGGGGAAGAAATATGTCTTGTTGTTCAGAGTAAAAGATTTTTTTGTGTATGTATTTTCTCTTGTGTGCCAGTCATTTATAGAGCAAAATTTACATATTTTGCTTTGAGAAAGAGTACTGTAGGGTAATAATACGTGGATCATGATTTGGGATATAAAAGATTAGATGTTACAAAAATAAATAATAATGAGGGAAAATATGAATATTAAAAGCTGTGAAATAATGTCAAAGCAAGTAGGAGATGTATGATGAATAAGAGTAAGGCAAGTTGTCAGCTGTTTGTATTTAAAGAAAAAAGGTGAGATGTGAACTTGAAAGCAAGAATGAAATATAATTGGGCTGCGAGTCTGTTCCCCAGTCCTACAGATCGTGCTGTGTGACGTGATTAAAGTCACTGGGCTTGGTGCATGATAGTAAGTTTTGCTTACTACAGGGAGCTTGAAAGACAGGGATCCCAGATCATTTTGGGGAAAATACTGAGAGATTTCTGTGGGCATTGTATAAATAATGAACAATATTTTTGCTAAGCGACTTTCAAGGGTCTTTGTTATTTTAATCTCTCTCTTACTATGTTAACAATATGGAACAAGGTGGAGGAGATTTGTTATAACTCATTCTGTTTTGTTAAAGCTTTCAAGAGAACCAGCACGTTTTTCCCCATCTTAGCAGAGTTTATTAGACCCCAGTTAGAAAATGACTTAACACATCTGTTTCCCAAAATTAACCCAAATTGTTGTGTCCCTCTTGTCTCTGTTCAGACTTTTGCATCCTCTCTTTTAGGTGGCTGCTGCTTCTCTTGGGGATGGAACGAACATGGGATGTGTGGTGACGGCACAGAAGCGAATGTCCATGTCCCAAAGCCGGTCAAAGCTCTTGGTTACGCAGAGCAGATGATAGTCGGGTGCGGGGCAGGGCACTCCATGGCTTTCTGTCAAACTCCACGTTAGACTCGCCGCTCCAGGAACCAGTGCGTCACGAATGGGGACGTCTTTGCAAAGGGTGGCTCAGGAGGGCTGCGAGAGGATTACCTATAATTGACACAACAGTCTGAAGATGCAGAAGAAGTTTGTTGCAAAACTAAAAGGAGCGATGCTCAGATAGCTATTACATAAAGACAAACTGAAAATATGTATATATAATATATATATTTTTAAAATTATTTAATGGGTTCTTTTCACAGGAATTGTACCCACTGGTAGAATGGCAAGCGTTTTGTTTTGATGCAGTACCAGTGAAGAAGGAATGACTTTTCCTTGCTCTTCTGAGACATTTTTGGAGGAGGAAACTAACTGCCTAATCACTGATCATTAGAGTCTAATTTCTGTCTGAGGAACTAGTGTGAGGAGGCGAACAGGCAGGGCCACTTCTGCTCTTTTATTTTTGTATCTTTATGTCATGATGAGCATGGGTAGCACCTGCCAGCTTCTACCGGAAGCTACTACCAGAGTAGTGAGCTCCCAGCATCTCTGAAAATCCTGTTTGCCTCACAGAGAAGTGTCAGTGAACTTAAATGTATGCATACACACATTTTAAACAGATCAGAACTTAAAAGAATGAAGAAGGTATAATTTAGAAGGCTGGTGAAAGGAGAAAGCGAGGCCCTACTGAAACCAACTATATCTTGATTAAACTGAAAGGAGCAGCATTTATAAATAATTATTTTCTGTACCAGGCATTAGTTTATTACAGATTTCCAGGGATGCAGATCCACCAGAACTATCAGACCTAAAGTTTCTGAAGCTTCTGCTTCAGGAAGAAAAATCTTTCACAGATTTTTGGAAACGATAGAAGACCTCTTGTCAAAGAGCGTTAAGTCAGCTGTAGCTGTTGAGGACAGTTGGATCCAACATAGCTCCTGTGTTTCTAGCCGCCTCTGAAAAGGAAGAGCTCCCAGTCTAAAAGGAAAGTTTCTACCAGTTCTCCAGCCTACCAACCTAAAATGCAGCTCAGAGTGGTCCTGATAATTTCAGGTTAGTTCTTGCATCTGTGTCTCAGCCCAGCTGAGTTGCTGTTCAGAGCATGCCCGCAATACTTGCTCCAGGTGAGTGCTTGGCAGAGAGGATATAGGCCTAATGTGTTTTGGTGGGAGAAGAGTAAATTACCTTCAGATATTACTAGCTGCTTATGCTAAGCAGAATTTTGGAAGCTAGTTAGAGAACTCTTTTTCAAACAAATACAGTGGATGCCATTAAGCTGGATGTTTACCACCCACGATAGTTAAATTTGCTGTGGTATTTGATGTATTTAAAGCTCTAAATATAGAGAATACTACTGTGTGCTAAATGCACCTTTTAACGAGACCCACTGTTGCTAAACAGCGATTTAATTTTTAAAGCAAGCTTGCTAGGGAAGTAGTCTTTCAAAATGCTAGGAGTAGAACTCTTAGAAAATAGGATGGGAAAACTTTCTAATGATGTATCAGTTCAGTCATGAGGAGCAGGAATTATGGTAGTGAGGATTTCTTTTTTCCCTTTAGTTTTACAGTAGTCAGAGTTCATGGCCTTATTTTCAGATGCATTTTCTTTTCTGTTGAATGGAGAAGAAACTCAAGCTGACTATGAAGCTGATTATAACTGCATTAGAGGCATTGAAAGACATGTGAAAATAACAAAATGGGTCCTCTGCAAAAAGTGCAGAGTTAAGCCTTCTATTGTGTGTATGTGCTTTTTCTCATATGCACCTTTTTCTTTTTTTCATCTATATGCACCAAACAGTTTTGCATACTTTTCTGGCTGTTCTCTTTGTGGAGGTGTTTACCTTCCTTTCCCTCCAAAATCCATGTACTGAATAAATATGTTATCCTGTTTCAGTAATCCTGTCCTCTAAATAATTTTGTGCCTTGTTTTGACAGCTAGTACGTTTCCCCTTGAACCTAAGAGCTACTGTATTGAGCATGTTTTGATTTGTGTATGCTATTGCTGCTGTTCAGTTCAGAGGAGCCCAACAAATTATGTAACAAACAAATGCAACTTGGTTGTATGAAATGTTGTTCACTTTTTCAGATCAATAAAATGAAAATGCTTTTGGAAATGCAAAGAATTATTTGGGGTGATGAGAAAGTAAAGGAGTCCTTGAATTTTATGTCCTGATCCTTTCCTGGTCCTGCTCTTGGATTTCATATCTGCAACCATTCTTCATCTTTGAAAGGGGGAAAACTGCACTCTCTCTCCCTTTTTTGTCTACATAGCCTGTATAGCCTGAAAACTTAGGGGAGTAATGACTGTTGTCTTGAGAGCTTTGCAGGTGGTCAGGACCTCTAATTGCTGCTGTAGCACCAAGAGTGAATAATAATTCATTGTGGATAGTATAGGGTTGAATGTCAAAAACAAGTTGTTGCTCATTCACTCAGAAGTGAATACCCTGTTTTGTATGTCAATATGCTTTGTTTGCAGAATAAAACCTTGTACAAAATCAGCTAAGGCTTTCTACTGAGACTTCACCTGTATGGAAGGGAGAAGACAAGTGTAGAGCTGCCAGGCAAGTGAGTAGACCCCCTTCCCTGCTGATCTCCAGAGAGCTTAGTGCCTGTTTCTTGTTGGCGTCCTGATGGAAAAGGTCAGTCTCTCCAAGGCAAAATGCAGAGCCAGTGTGCTATGCTAATGCCTCCGCAACAGCAGCGCATGCAAAGACAGACCTATTTATGCAGGTCTTCAGTACTAAACAAAGAAAGCCTTTTATGTAAGCATCCCGCATCCACATTCAGATGCAAATAAACTGACAGGTTTGGGATATATATTGACACTGGAACAAGGTAAGCGGAGTGTCCATACAGGGCCCCCCCCTTTTTCTTCTCCCTCCCCCTCCCCCCCAGCCCATTTTCTGAAAATGAGCAAACCTGCCAAGATGGTGATACTCACGAGGGAAAATAGGTGAACTTTTAATATAACAGCTTTTCTGGAAAACAAGTTGTGGGTTATTGACCATCAGAGAGTTTTCAGGCTCTCGGGTGGGGGAGAAGGAAGCTGTTGTATATACTTCTGTTGCTTGAAAGTCATAAGATACCTGCAGTTATTACTCATACAAGCTCTCTGTGTACCTCTACAGAACCCTCCCATTTCATTTTAAGGAATGTTGGAAGGAAGGAAGGAAGATGCTCGTATTATTTCAGAAGTTTTTCTTTCTTGGAGGATTTGTTGAAGCTATTTCTGTTACTGATGTTATTTGTATAGCATTCCTGATTGCGTTAATACTCTTATGCTTGGAATGCTGAACCTTTACATTGGAGTATCTGAAGGAATTAGTGTCTTCATCTGAAAGAAAAATTCAGTCCTGCCTTTTTCCGCTTTTGCCCCCTCACTTGTCCTTTTCTGCCACTGGCTTCCCTCCCCTCTCAGCATCTCTTCAGTCCTATTGGTATCTCTAGTTCTTGCCATCTGCAACTGCCATGAAGGTCATTTCCTGCATGAGTGATAGGAGGTTTTGCTTGACTACATGGCTGAGCACTGGGAAACTGGGAGGTGGGAGGAAGAATGTGATTTGATTTTTACTTTGCATTGTGTTTTTGGAGTCATGGGACTTAAAGATGAGGATGGAAAACAGACAAAGGAGATCAGTCGGAGTGTACAGAAGAAAGATGTCCATGGTATAACATTTAAAGGAGTCGCAGTAGAAAGCCTGAAATAGTCAGTGAGCTAGAACACAGGGGAAAAGGAAGGCAGAGGTGGTGGACAGATTGAAAATACAGATGCTGAAGACTGGGTAATCACAAAGGGATAACAGCATTCTAGCCCTCCAGTGCGACAGCAGTGTGATGAGGGGCAAGCTATTTTATTTCTTGGGTGATGTTATTGTAGTTTATCTCTCCACACATTTACCTGACTTTTAAAATTAGTAATATGAGTAATTGACCTGCGCTGGGTTTCCTTTCTTCTTCATAGGACAGCTTGACATTTCCAGTTCTCTTCAATTGGAACAGCAGTGTCTCTGTTCTCACCTTCCCACCTTGAAAATCTTTTAGCTTTGACCTGTGACCTAATCCGGCACTTAATCACTTCCTGATGATTCTTGCCATTAAATTCCATGAACTCTGGATCAGGGTCTTACCTGACTTGAGTAAGACTTAAGTCATTTGGGCTTTTTTACCTCTTTCACCTCTGTATTAGAAATCAAGATGATGGCAGATCTTTGTTACTAGAATTGCAATGTTAAATTGTTTTCACCAGAGTCCTCTCTATTCCATTAGAGATTTTGATATTTTAAAAGTCTGTGGTAAGGCTTGTGCTTTTTATTTTAGCTGGATTTTTTTTTTTTTTTAAAGGTTCCCAAAATTTTCATGAGCATTTGGGTAGCATTTGTGGTGTTTACTACCAACTTACAGCTCAGAGCAGCTGAAAATTCTAAGGAAGAAAAATACTTAAGAAAACAAAAGACTTGCTTCCCAAAGTCTGAAAATGGATGCAGTCTGTGGCAGATAATCATTTTGTGTGGTTTTGATTGCACTTAAAAATGTGCACAGTAGAAAACGGGCTTACACCAATGTTGCTGAAAACTGTAGCTGACACAAAAAACTAGAGGTATGAATCTTTAAAATATCAATCTCTTGATTTATTTTATTTGAAAAATAAGAAGCAGTATGCTTGCTTGTTTTTAACTTATGTGCTATTTTTAATTCCCTGATAAATACTGGTCATAGATGGCTTGCTCCATGATGGAAAGAATGAAGTAATAGCCCTGACTCGAAATGCTTAGGCTGTTTGGAAATGGCCATCTGTTAAACAAATGTTGCAAAAAACTTCCTGTATGCACCTTTGAAGCTGATTGGGAGAAACTGCATGTGTGAAGCCCGTGTTGTTTTAGAAGCTATTTAGAGTTAGATACCTGAAGGAGCAGTACGGGACGTTCTCTAATTGTTTGTGCATTTCATTCAAAGATTCATCCATTCCTTGTCTCTGCATTTGGCTGTGTTTGATGCAGAGGCCGTTTTTACTCACTACTGCTTCTGTGGAGCATGGAAAGGGAAAATGCAGCTGAGAATACTGAGCAATGGAGATGGTCTCTGCGTGTTTGAATTGCGACCGTGTGCCGTGTCATGGGAGTGAGGAAGCATAAGTTTACAGAGTACCAGGAGAACACATTTTTCAGCTTGATTAGAAACAAGAGCTGAAACAAAGTAATTCTCCCTGAATTAAAGCTGACCTTGGAGGTGAGTAAATTTGGAGGTGACCCTTATTTCGCAAAATTTCCACGAGCTTTTTTACTTTTTGACAGAACCAGGAGCAGGTCAGATTTGAATTCCTTTTCAGATGAACCTTTGCAGATAGAGGGTTAACACAAGTCTAAGTCCAGTTCCTGTTTGAGCCAGCCTCTCAATTTGTTTTCACGCTCCTCCTCTATTTTCAGATTGCTTTCCTATGGCCCATCTTGTCATTCAGGTGCAATGCCATCTTGGAGGAGTTTTGTCTGCAGGGTTCGGGAGCACTGACTTTGTCGATGGAAGTTGCAAAATTTCAATCCGCTTTGACTACAGGACTCCCTGATCATTGTCATCTCTTAAGTGCGTTTGAGCACTGTGCTGTGAGGCTGTGCGTTTTTTAATTTTTTCTTTTCAAAAGTGGGGCCAGTGATCAGGAGATGTTTCCTGTTCTGTCATGATTTTAGTTTTCTGCCGCAAGTGACAAACGCATTTAACTCTTGTTTTGTTTTTTACCGATTCAAATGCACAAAGTCCTGGTAGCTAAAGTAGGATAACTGAGGAGTTGCCAATCAGTAACCAAGCACACTGTCAGTTTAACTGTGTGGGTGCTTATTCAACCTCCATAGTAATCCTCTGCTTTAAAGGACAAAAGAGAAGGGATTCCTATAGAAGCACTGGGCTCTCATGCAGACAAGGAGGAGGCACGGTATCTGCTATGTAATGGAGAGAAGTGTCTCTCTGTCCTTGAGCTGTTAGTTTATAATAACTATTCCTATGTAAATAGTGCTTTTCATCGTTTGACCTCAGAACAAGAGGTAAAAAGAGGATGATGTCACAGATGCTGAGGCACAAAAAATGGAAATGTCCCAACCGAGGTGTAACCCAGCATGTCTGCAGTAGTCAAGAATAAAATTCCAGGCCTCCTGGGTCCCAGGCAAAGCTCTGCCTTTTAGGCAGGTGGTCTTGATGTTTCTCATAGCCAGGCCTCACGGCTACCTCTTCCCTCTGCTCTTGCTCTCCTTCCCTGCTCACCACGGACAGCTCTTTCCTCATTGTGCTCCTGCCTTCTGCTTGCAGGAGCCACTTTCCAGACCTGCCCCATGTCCTCCTGTCCGTCTCCTGCTTCTTGTGCCGTTGCCACCCCTTCTCCAGCCCTCACCGGCCCTGACAGCGCAACCACAGAGCAAACATTCTGTGGAGCAGCTGAGCTTGGGCTCCAGCTGCATGCCCAAATGCTGGGGCTACCCACTGTCAGCGCCTGTGTGCCAGCTATGCTATCCCTCCGAAGCCGTGCTGGTCCTGAAGCCACAGAGGTACCTTAGGGTGATGCCTATGCTAATACACCTGCAAGACTTGGTTTGTTGCTAATGTAGGAATCCCTAACCTGGGCTCCATGGACAGCAGAGACACTAGTGAAAACACTGGAGCATGTGCTCTTAATATCTGGCACCTGGGGATGTTTGGATGTTCCTGCATAATTACATACAAGTTTTGAAATGCTCAAGTGAATGCTGAGCGTTGAAAACCTGGCCTCGGCAGCCTGAACCAAGGAACAGATGTTTCCCTGGGGGTGGATGAATGTAATTGGTTTTAAAATATTTGCTTTATCAAATAAGAAATTTGAGATGCAGTGTTCTGATGTATTTTCTAACTTGAAGTTCGTTTTGAATTCAGATTTCACACTTGATCACGAATAAGCGTTTGTGTTCCCGGGAGAGACAAATGTTGCTTCTACAGTTCTAGGTGAATGCAGAGGCTTTGAGACTTCCGAACAGACAGATACTTTACGCCCAAACTCAAATAAACGAGCAACTTAAAAATAACCTGCATAAATCATGCACATTTTCATGAAGTAAAGTTGGTTTGTGTTTGAGTTCAGAGAGAAGGTTGCTTCCAGGATACATGTGGAAAGCAGAGAGGTAGGCTACCTTGTTTTGAAACTATGAAGAAGATGCGCAAAGTGTCAGGGTAATAACTGCTTTTGTTTTTGCTTCAGGTTATCTTTCATAAGCGTTTCTGAGCTCAGTTCCTTTCTGAAGGTCCTGGCCTTGGTCCAGCTTGCTCTCTTCTGTATTTTACTCCGCTCATTTGTTCCAGCAGCCATGTGTCTCAATGATGTATTTTCTTTTCGGCCCTGAAACTTTAAGGAGAGAGAAGGCAATTTATGTGAAAAATCACTTTATCCAGCTTAATGACTGCTGCACTTGACTGTTATCAGAGTGGTTATTAGCCAGATTCTTTGCTGGAGTGAGAGAATGGAAACCACTTTTCAGGTCCTTGCTGTCTGAAATAGCTGTTGTGGAGGCAGTTTCATGTGTCGTGTTGGTCCAGAAAAAAAAAAAACAAAACTAATACCTTCATGCAGTTAGAGGATAAAGCCATATGTGTATACAAAGTGTGGATAGGGGTTTTTTTGTGTGTTTTTTTTTGTTGTTTTTTTAATTTTAGCAAGTACAAAATGACTGTGATTGCCAGTGGATTTCAGATGAAGGTTAAATACCCAGTGTTGGGGTCCGATAGCTGGGAATTCATTGCTGAAAACTGAGTTTCCAACGGAAGGAATACGGACATTCATTATTGAATATGCTTCTGCTCTTATTGATGGTGGTGTGAAGTCAGAAGT